TGATATATTATAAGTAACTAATAAAATTTAAATAAAATTAATAAATATAATATATTAATAGTATTAGTTTTATTTATTAAAATTTATTTACTATTATTAGTATAATTTTGAAATAAATATATAAGCTTGTATAAATGAGTATTATATTTCTTTTGATCTTTTATTTAAGAGCTTAAATGATAAGTAATACTATATAAGAGTCACAAAAAACTATTTTATTTATCTTTTTTTTTCTTAAATTATATTACAGCTTTTTAATAATAAAAAGCAAATATTAAAATATTATATAACTCTTGAAGAAAGAGTTAAAATAATTATTTTATTTCAAATAGATATATCACAAGAAAAATAGTAAGAACTCATAAAATTAATTCTTATATATTAATAAAAAATAGTGCAAACAGCATATTTTAAATAATATAAATAAGTCTGATTATTCATGATTATTCAAAAACTTTTGATTCTGACTGTACATGAACAAATTGGTCTATAACTCGTGAATGTCAAAAAACCTAGAAATATAAATATACCATTAAATAGAGCAGGTTTTTGCTGATTCTAATCATATAAATTTTATTTAAAATTATATGCAAATTGTCCGTCTTCACGATTAGTGCATTAAGTTAGATTTACACATCTCTTCCCATATTTTTCTTGGTCTACTTTTGGAATTTAGCATCATTTTATTTCCCACGCCAAGCCTTTAAATAAAATAAAATAATGTATACCTCAGCATGCAGCTTAAACGGATTTTGTATCAATCATCTACAGTCACACTCTCTAAATGCCTGCTATTGGGCAGCTTGGGACTTAGTCTCTAAATGCATGTTCCTCTAAATGCATCTATAAGAGATATATAAATGAGCTACCGTTGATGATATTATATTAAATAAACCTGTTATTCCTTTATGACGTAAAGTTCACTTCGCAAAAGCGAAGTTGCTGAAACTGTGAATATCAACTACCGGTATATTGCAGTGCTCTGCGGGTTATACGTAAAAGTGGCCTATAAAGAAGACACTTCAGGCTTCAGACATTTACGAGGTGCATTTTCCTATAGGATTAATGAGTTAAATTTTTAATATCACATATTGCAATTCTATTACGCATGCCTTCAATCGAGTTAAATAAATACGAAATGTATTGCACTTAAACCAGTTATAGACTATTTTGTTTCCATAATAGAATGCACAAAGAAATTAAAGGTTGCACAACAGAATTAAACAATGGATTTTTGAATGAAAATTCATTTAGCCGAGAAGGAAAATATGATAGACTTCATTTTCGAGCAACAGGTTAGATTTTGTTACTTGTTTGGCTATTAACGTATTATGAAGTGACACCTAAACATTTAAATGTACTAAATATTACTCATAAAAGCTACAGGTACCTGATTTCTCGAATCAAACCTATTCAGACCGCATTATACAATATATCGCTGTTTCAAACTAAATAACAATCAAATTTTATTTTTGTTAAAACTACCTATAGCTCTAAAATACGTGTACGACGTGATATAAAGTATCACATATAAGATATATAATATAAAGAATTTTTAAGGAAAATATATATGCAAATATTCGAGCTTTGGTTTAAGTTAAAAATGATATGTATTTTAAGCACATGATGGTCAAATTTATATCTATTTAAAAAAATGCTTTAATCAATCCATAATCCTTATTATCATTAAGGTTGGTCCGTATCAGCCTTAAGCCGCTTTGATGAGACTGTTTAAGATTGAATTGATTAAATACAATCACAAAAATTTATCTCGATAAATGTATATCGATGGATGTACAAATAATGTTCAAGTCGTACAAATAAATGTACGATGAACAGTGTGTTGAATGAAACTTACCACATGTGTTTTGTTATTCATAAACTACATTTTATTAGTCAAATTATGGTCCATTCAATAATAGTTTGAAACAGAAGAAACGCAAAAAAAACCAATTAATATGAAGCACATTTATTAAATTAATTTTCTTACTAATAATATTTTATTATTTGTAATTGTGTGATCATAACGCATAATAAGGTGAAGCACATACATGTACTTATTACATGTAATTGGTCTTTTTCTGAAAATATACAAATTATTGCCGGAAATTCCAAAAACGAATCTGGCACTGTGGAGCTCAACATCTCAAAATCCAGTAATATTATTAAATGAAGATATCCACATTAGATTTGTCGAATTTATTTACGAATCTTACTTTGATTAAAGATACTCTCGAAGATTCTTGGGGCACTGTGGAAATCTTTTTCTGCAGATGTGAAGTCCCTTATATGGAATATCTCCATTTAATATTACTGGATTTTGAGATATTGGGTTCCAAAACGGCAGATTTATTTTGATGTTTTCGTTAATATATTGGAGGTATAATAATTATCTTTATTCATTTATATAGTAAAAATATCAAATGAGCCTGAATTTGGGCTTATGAAATCTTGGTGAAAATTAAAAAATTCAATTTGTTTGCACACAAAACAAAATTTTTATAATGTCAATATACTCAATATCAAGAAAAATTGAAGTATCTGTACAATGTATATTTGCGATCATTTTGTTATTACTTGTGCTGATTTTGTTTTGCCTTCAAGTGATGTATATATAGACTTAGAAGCTTTATTAATCTTCCGGTTAATTTCAAAGCTTTTGCTATTCAGTTATATCGTTAGTAGCATTTATTTAAGTAAAATTGAGTCAAATCCAATAACGCTTTTTATATGTAGAAATATTACAGTAATGACTTATAGAATAAAAAAGATAAAAGGATAAAAAAGCTATTTAGAATTAAACTTCGGAAATATCTTTTTATAGAAAGATTTGTAATTCAATGCATATAATAACTATTTTCATAGGATTAATAATAAACGCGTGGTTCGCCAAAAGAATGATAGAGATATGACACAAAAATTAGCAGCTTAACAGATATTAATAGTGCTGGTTTTCACCAATGGTAATTATAATTACTCAGAAGATGAATAAGCTACGTACGATACATCGAAAGATATAAATTGATCTCATTCCGAGATGACATATAATATACAAAATCAATTGAAAAATTGATTCATGATTAAGACTTATAGATACGAGTTAGATTCTAGATCCAGCACAGATCTATAAATTATTAAATCCTGTATAGACTTGGTTGGCGTGCAAGCGGAATAACGCGGAATAACGGAACCTATTTGTAATTGTTCAATGCATGTATTACACATGTGCATCCATATCCAACGATATAATGTCAACATGTTCATGAACATCCAAACGTGGTTTTATGTGAATATATAGTGTAGTGATTATATAGAGGGGCGATTGTACATATTTTGGTATCCGTTTAGGTTACATTCTATAGTCACAATCTATCAGATCGAGGATTTACATGTATAGGATTAATGTTGTAAATGGAACAAAAATGGTTTCGCTCTGCAGTGGCGTTTTAACATGTTAAATTTTTTTATATTTACATTGTCATTGTTATATCTACATTAACAATTGTCATATTAAAATTGTCTTATAACATATTTTATATTAGAGAAATTGTTACAAAATAATATAAAAACAAGGTGAATGTTAAATATAATTAGAATTTAAAAAGAACCCACTTTAAACTTTTGCATTTCCCACTTCTATATAAGAACAACATTTGTGGAGCTTTTTTTTCATAAATTAACTATGTTTTTTATTAAAGTATGCATCGAGCCAACTGTAAAAAAAAGTGGTGAATATGATAAACCACGACCACAAAACAAATGGATCATTTTTCGAGGAGATTATGAAGCGTGTTCGCGTCCTAACGTTAAAAAAAGCTTTAAATATACAGAAAAGAAATACAGTTTAAAATGGCAACAGCTATCAAGCAAAAATCAAAAAAGTTTATTCCCAAATTATGATCATAATAAGCTAAAAAATGCACAAGGTACAAATTTATACCCTAATTACCAGTATAATAAGCTAAAAATGCAAAAGAAACAAACACTAAGTATAATCTGTTTTTCACGAAAACCGTTGACAATACTACAATTAATACTAATATTGAAGTTGATGCTAATAATACAAAAAGTTATAATTATTATCAATTCATCATTAATAATTCAATGATAAGAAGAACCTTATGGTAATAATTTCTATATTATTATCTTTTTAATTATATATACCGTATTCTCATAAAATAACGCGCAGCGGTGTAATTTCAAATTTTGGTCTGAATTAAGCGTAATGCGTGGCATTATTTCGTGAGTATACGGTAAAGACAGCGAATAATCACTAAAATCATTTTAAAATTTTATTAAGTTATATCGGAAAAATGGAATCTAATACTCATAAATGTAGTAAATGTATTTAAAAAATTGCAAATTTTTTTACAGTCAGACCTCCTTAAATGCAAGCCGTCAGACAAAAAAAAGTTGTATAACGTGCATCTATAAAAAATTGCATTTACGGAGGGTAAAAATATTTACCGTTTCATATACTTGGGACTAAATCAAAGTTTGCATTTATGTAAGCGCAACATAGTGCGTGCATTTAGAGAGGTCTGACTGTGGTTTTATTTATTATATTGCTTATACTTTGGTGGTACAAAACAGATAGCAAATGCATATCGTATGAAATTACGGCCCTAAGCTATTCGAACGAGGTTTCAGAAAAAATTTGCGGAGAATCTGGATTTTATTATATTCAAGATTTTGACATTCTAAAAGACGAAATTAAAGTAGTTGAGTGGTATTCGACATTAACAAAATCAAGAATTTCCCAGGAACAACATAATCTTAGTGGTGTTCGCATACAGAAATATGATGAAAATGCTATTGAGTGTTATTCAAAACCAGCAATTGGTAGAGTTCTAACTGGACAATGCCATTTGAATTCTAACACCGATGTATTAACCAATTTCGAGACGTTTTTGCTTTTTAAATTCAAATTATTTCATGGAATCTCAATTGGTCAATATTCAAAAGAACAATCTATTCACACTTCAGTAGAGTATACGACTATGTTGCCAACGAAAATTGAGTTAAGACAATCTAAAAATATTACGATTCAAAAAGTATCACAAATTGATCATATGAAGATGCTTTTCCAAGGAATAGAAATTGAAAAAAGCTCATATGAAGACTCTAAAAATTTCTTCGATTCTTGCGGCATTTCAAATAAGACAAAAACGCATGTAATGTTTTGTGAAATCATCAAGGAAAAAGCTTCGATTGAATATGATATTACGAAATTGAAACCGACCGCAGAATTACATTTAGCTATTGAAGAAGCATTAGCATCTAATGAACCGATTGAAAACTTAAATTTTGTTTTTCAAAAGTTTGGATATTTTTTCACCACAAAAGTAATAATTGGCGACAAGTTGACTCGAAGCGTCCGTTTTACCGGAAAAAAGTATTCAGATTGTTCGGGATTAAAAGATAAAAACCTATTTGGAACTCATATTTTTGATAAATTTTCGGAGAAAGGTAAATTTATTTCATTAAGTGGCCTCATAATATAAAGACTAATAATATATTAAATTTTAAGAAAAATTATTGGAACAATGGAAAGAACAAATCAAACCGATCAATTCTTCTTTTATGCTAACGATTAATGGTGATATTGTTGAGCGAAGGTATTATCATAATTTGTTTTAATAACTACCCTACCTCATATTAATCATTCTCCATTTAAATCAGTGATATTCCGAAATGGCTCGAAAGTAAAGAATCAGATTGGAATATTGTAAAACGTGTTGTTATACCGTTATATAAGATCCTTGATATCAAACAACAATTTAAAATCAAAAATCTCCTTACAAAAGAAAACCGTGTTCTCATGAAAAAGGAGACTTTGCTTATAGATGCATCCAAAAGTTACCATCGATGTATTTTCAATGAACCATTAAAAAGCTATAATTATCAAGTCTTTGGAAAGATAGTGTCTCTTGCAGAAGCTGATATTGATGTGCAATTTAGTTGTAAATCAAAATCTGGATTCTCGGTGAATTGGAACAAAAAAATAGAGGAGGAAGGGTAAGGTTATATAAAAAAACATTCATATCCTTCGATGCAAACTTTTGAACTAATAACAATTTGGTATATTATTAGGCCAATTACGTTTCAATGGATGTTAATTGGTTGTCCAAGCGAAATTGGGTATTATGACTCTAAAACTCGTAATGTTTCAGTAAAAATGGGTTTTACCAAATTAAAACTTGAACCTAAAAATGAAATAGAAGCTAAAAATGAGCTAAAATCATGGTATAAACAGATTGATGTCGGAATAACTTTACAGCAACAGCATGCTATATCAATTGATGTTGAGTGTGCTTCAACCGTCAATAGATTAATATTCTTTCAATCGGCCTATTCAATAATTTCTGCATCAGTCATCGAAATACGAGTTGGGACAAACGAAGCTGAGATTCTTAAATTATTGAAAAAAGATACAGAATTTCTCGTCAATATTCGTTGGTGTGTTACGTTCGAAGAGCTAGTGCCACAATAAAAAACAGTTTCAAGCAAATAAATTTCTTTACGAGGTAGTAAACAAAACAGGTTATACTTTTCTTTAATTCATTTAATTATTTTAAATTTTAAATTCTAATTTTTAAAGTACCTTATTCGCCGCATAAACTACCTGAGGTCTGCCATATTTCCGCTATTAGTATCCCAGGTCCTTACATTCTATGGACCTAAAAATTGATTAATACCTATCGGGTACTTTATGTGTGTGTGTTTTTGTCAAGAGAAGGGATTTATAAGGAAGGGTTTGTGTAAAGGGAATATTTAATTGGTTATGTACGTTAATGTAAACAAGTGAACTGTCTGTCTGTAAACGAATTCTTGTTACGTATTACATGTAGGAGTATAACCTACGATATCCGGGAACCCGGATCTCTTACAATTTTGCCCAGCAATGCCGTTGATTAGTACCAGGATCTTTATAAAGGAGTATTTTATTATGGGTATTAATTGCGGTAAATACGATACTCCCAAAAATCAATCTAGACCCGGGAGGGTATTATGTATAGGGGAGTCTTTTATTTGGGGTCTTGTAATTTATTTAAATAAATTTATCACTGGAATTAAATTAGAGTTATGCATTTTTTATCATGTAATAAGCTGTATATTGCATGTAGATAATTTTTGACGCGTACATGTACATGAAATGGCGTACACGATTATCTCGTTGGTTTTATTATCATTTCAAGCAATTCAAGTGAAATCAGTAAATTTACTAAATGGAATAGAGGACCGTTTGCCATTTTCTTTTATCATAAATTTATAACGATGGATTGTCTAACAAAGATAAAGATAGCAACAAAATTAATAAATCGAATGGATTCCTTTCAAACTGCCATTCGGTAAACGTCCTTTTCAATATTGGTTTAACCTTTGATTTATACATGAATTGCGACCAGAATTACCAGAGGATTACCTGACTTTTACCACGACATGATTGCAGTTGTTGACATCAAAATCTCTCACCAAGACCAACTTCCAAAGAGGTGTACGACATCATTGATAAATAGTATCAAGGCGAAAGAGGTTTGGGTCAATTATAAAGCAACCTGGTTGGATTAAATGGATCATGACGAAAATAAATTTAAACGTGATGGAGAAATTGAAGTTGTGTTGAAATCATTCGACAATTGAAAGCAAATTACTCAAGAGTTGATAAATGAAGTAAAAAATGAAGTTTTTCTAAAGTGAAAGTTAACTTTTTGTTTCTAATACAAACAAGTTTTTTCAAAAATGGATTCAGACTTCCTTATCTTGATTATTACAGTTACAAATGGATGCAAATACCATATTTATAAAGTGTCAGCAACAACAATCAATTTACCGTTACAATTTAAAAGAATTCATAAGGCTTTGATTTCTCAAGTCATTGAACTATTTATTTAAAATACATATATAATAAATTAATTGTCACAATTCGATTTATTTAACACAATATAATAAAAACGTTACTAAACAATTGCAAAAAAGACTTAGCAATTGTGATCCTAACAGGTTCAAATTATTGGGGGATTTATGCAACGAATTACGGTATTTATTGATTATAGACCACTAGCATGAAATTTCTTTTGTCTCTTCCTTACGATTCAGCCAAATGTCTTTTTGCATTCACAATTAAAGCCCGATGATAAAATAAGATAATCAATTTAAATATCTTTTTCAGATTTTGGATTTATATGGATATTAAGGTTTCGAGTTTATTTGTTGTCAGAATTTGGTCGTCCAGAACATACTACGTTGAAATGGTAATATTATCGATTTCATAATTTTAGATCTTAACGTTTTTATGATTCAAGAGAAATGTTTGAATAAAATCTATAATATGTGATCCCCAACATTTTCTAACAAAAATCCCACAATCCATAATCCCGACAGTTCAAGATCTCGAATGGTTCAAAGATCCTGACAGTTTAAGTCCTGCCCTGCATTCAAAATTCCGATAATTCAAGAGCCGACAATTTTAAATGACTAACACAGTAAAAAAAATGACAGCAGGAAAGATTGCCGGGAATTCAATATTGATTTTACGTGGTTAAAATTGCCACATTTTTCTCTACCTCTAGTAAAAACTTGAATTTCGGGATGTCGTGGTAGACCCCTATAATACATTAGAATTTTTAAAATAAATATGTTTTATTTATATTTTCTATCCTAATATTTATTATCAAATACGAAAAATTGGTAAGACCTCTTGCTTCAAAATGTTATCGTTATCACAGGTCGAACAGAGTAGATTTCAGTTGGCTAGTAAAATATGGATGATATCAGGGTATAATACTGGTAAATTTAATGGCAAAAATATGGGCAAATTTTTCCGAACCTATATTTTAGAATTGGATCTTGACAAGATAAGGTTTATCATGTCAAACTATGGTGAATTATTTGGGGTAATTTGCTATGGTTACACTGCAATAAGAATTGATGCGTGCCAGCCTACGCGGTCAATAAGTACATGTATACATGTTTGATAAACAACGTATGGGCTGGTCAAGATTATACTCAAAATTGCATGCTGAGCATTTTTCTTAATCACTCAGTCTGGGTTACTTAATAAAACTCGAATTATTGACGATTTGTCATTTTTTGTTTTTTTCAGCACATTCTCCTATTTGCAACTTTTTGAAAAAATTAGCTCATATTTTGCTTTTGGGCAAAAACAAGGAATAAATTGTAATTTTGTAATTTTTAGTATTATTTAACTTCTAGTTTACCCAAGGTGAAACCTACCCCGTTCGACCTGCATATCATAATACACTTATAAAGGATTGTCAGGCTGAATAAGTCAGTCCGTTAAGTGAACCTCCGCTAAAATAACTATATAAAAATTTCGCTCTGACGTATAATGAGGGAACTGGTAGAGTGATTTTGTTCCTTTTATTCAATAACATGCCTTATCTCAAAAATAGCAAATGAAGATTGTTTAAGTAATTACAGATATAAATGCTCCTTGAAGAAAAATGGATGTTTATACGAATTTAACTGAAGGGATTAAGGGAAACAACCATTATCGGATAAAATCAACCACATTTTTTTAGAGGTAAATAAAATATATCGATATGCACATGTATATTGACATGTATTTAATGCATGTCGACAGATGACATGTATTTAATGCATGTCGACAGATGACATGCAAATAAAAATTTTTGTAACACATAGAATGTTTATATTATCACAAAAGAATTTATAACGATGAATTGCCTAGCGGAATTAAAGATATCGACAATCTAATAAAAGAAATTATTGATGAATGGATTCCTTTTAAAGACAAAAGGATGTTTTGGGAAATTTATAAAGCAACCTCGGCTAGGCATTAAAAATATATACGTATAGGATAATTTAGTTGAGCTGAAATCATTACACAATTTAAAGCAAATTACTCCAGAGTTTGTAAATGAGGTAGAAAATGAACATTTGCTAAATGGTAGTTACTTTTTATTTTTTTATTCAATAAATTTTTTACAAAAATAAATTCAGACTGCTCATAAATGCATTATTATGGAATAACTTACAAAATGAATGCCTTCGCAAATATATTAATTCTACCCGCAAAGAATTGACTTGGAATCATAAATTATTTATATTGGATATAACTAAATTAAAGTACATACATAATACATGTAACGACAATCAAAACAATAATAATAAACACACACATTTAAAATACTCTGAATACTTTTACATCCAACTCAAGATTAGGAATGTTATATGGGGGGTCAGAAAAAGGGGAAATACATGAATCGTTGCATTTTCAACAAAGATAAGATTTTTACTATACACTGTTTAATATCCAGGTTCCATACAAAAATCGTTCGCAAAAAATAGGGAGGTACATAGATGTACATGTACTTTTTAAACAGTGCTCTACGGCATGCTGACTCAAATGTAATACATGTACATGTACCATGCATCTAATGTAAGAAGTTTCTTTAAATGCACATCCACAGTTGGACAATAAATAAAAGTTGCATGTCGCACATTGAATTCGAAACTACATACATAACTGTATAATGATAACGATTTCCTCGTTGTTTTATTATCATTTTAAGCAATTCAAATTTTATAAGTGAACTCAAAGATGCTCATAATTGTAAAGAAATGCAAAAGGAGGTTTGGGAAAATTATAAAGCAACCTGGCCTGATTGGAGATGGGCAAATGCGTGTTCAAATACCTTAGTGCTAAGGATAGAGATGGGCAAATGCGCGCATAATACATCACTATGCGTACTATGCGCATAGTATATATATGCATAATGATCTACATGTACATATATAGTAATCAAATACGCGATGTGAATTCATAAA